TGACACTCCTACATTAAAGATATCTGCTGCCTCATCTGCACATTGTATTTTGGAAGTCTGGGGGAATGACCAAGTCTCAAAACAGACTGCTTTGCATTTTGGTTACACCCTGGACAATTGCAACTTGCACATCCTCAGTCCCATCCCCAGTGTCTGCTACAGAGCAGGATAAGGAAAAGCTACCAACCTTCAGACAATGGAGGAAACGTTGCCTTTGTAGAAGTTTACCTGGAATTACCAGCATTTCACTATCTTGAGCTTGTCTTGGAAAGCTTCTAGTCAACTTCACACAACCTCAAAACTGAGGTGCCTGCAGTAGTGAGTGTTAGGAGCACCCCTTGAAATATTCCATCTACACAAAAGAAGTTCCTGTGCTCCAATCCACCTTTCACAGTTCAAGACACCATTCTGTTTGCATCAATTTGCTCATGAAAACTGGATTCCAGTCCTGGCATTTTCTGCCTTTTACAGAAGCTGTGCAAGAAGATAAGGATGTTCTGAGTCAGCACAGAGCACAGTGGCTGGCAGAAGCACATAGAAGATGAGGGGAGTGTTTGTCTTTGGGAATACATTATACTGCAGTGTAAGTGCATTCATTATCAAATTTAAGGGCTTTCCTTTGTGAAAGGCATCATTGTCAAGCCTCACGTGCTTTTGGGCTGCATCTCTGTCAGATTGCACTGCTGCATTAATGCCAAGTCATAACCAATTAGCACTTGAAAAACACCATGTTACACACAACCTTTTTGACCGTGGCAAGCTCAACATATCCTCTCTAGCAGAAGGGGTTGTAAAGCAGCATGAACTTCAAAACATCCCCACAGACTTGCCCTGAGCTCTGCCCTGCCAAAGTGCCTCCTCTGCAGGGTAAAAGTGAAAGATCAATTACAGACAATTACAGCTATGCCAGTCAGAGGCATAATTTCAGATGTGTCAGGGATAAGCACACGGGTTGCCTGTACTGGTTCCAGCAGACTGATTAGCTCTGAGCCCGGCTGACCTGGGAGTGAGGAAGTGTGGCAAGGTAAGGCAATTCACAGTAACACCTACTGAAAGAAAAAAAGCTACCACAGATATGCTGATTAATGCAAGTTTTGAAGTAGTTTTGAATAGCCGAAAGAATCAAATCAGAGACATTGAGCCTGCCTCTGTATTGGAGGCTGCAAAGACTCGGTTCCAGAACACAGTGAGGGGGAAAAACAGCACTCACCAAACAAACCTGGTGTATGCATTTTGCAGAATGAGCTGTGAGGAAGCTCAGGACAGACTTCAGATCAAACACCAACTACTGTCAGAAAAACAATATCGAGATCTAACAATGTGTCAGGTTCAAGGACTTGGTGGTAGCCTCACATGCAATTAACTCTGAGCATTTTAAGGAATTACTGCCCTTCAGTTTTGTCAGCAGTGGCTTGTGCTAGCTGGCACTTCAAATGGGCATGAGTTTTGTGGTCACCAGCTCCTGAATCTCAGTTGACAGAAGGGTCACTTGCTTCTGCAGAGGTGACTGTATTCAAATCCAACTGCACCAACATATACTGCTAGTTTAAGTCATCCATGAATCCCTCCAAAAAGGCCACACTAAAGGTACAATACACACACCTCACTTTCAGCTACTATAAAATGGTACAAGATAAAATGATTCACTGGGTTAATGAATTTTTCATTTTTAATCACAACTGTGCAGGCACTGGTATGTATCAATAATAGAAAAATTCAAAGGTTAAAAACAGTGTACAGTTTAGCACAGCAGGCAACATTTGAATAGAAGCACATAATTTTAATTTGCTTTGAAGTTTAAAGCAATCCAAACAAAAAGTTAACTATATAAATACAGAGTAAATGCACATAGTTTACAGCCAACTACATGTATGCAAGAATAATAGCAAACCTCACATGAGTACTGAAGTATTCTCCATCTGTCACCTGTGAGTGTTTAGCTATGACTCTGAGAGCATAGTTATGTTCACATATGCAGGGTAGGCAGACTCTTAAATAGAAGAACTGAAAAAACTTACATAACTCAGTCTTAACGGACAAAGTTGAAAAAAGTAGTACATTTACCTAGGCACACTTCAGCATTCAGCTCGTTTTCCAAATCTGAACAGTTTAAACAGGAAGCAACATTTATAAAGGCTCTCCACTCTTGTCTCTGGAAGCATTCTTTTACAATGCTGCAGTCTGAGGAATGTTGCAGATGTCGTACAAAAAAAACAGACTAGCAGAAACTGTCATTAACAAACAAACAATCCGCTGTCATTAACACCTCAATCAGCAAGGGAAGATGCGGAGTGCGTTATGTAAACAGAGATAGGGGCGGAGATGGGCAAGTGGTCAGGCGAGGTCTCAGTTACAACTACAACACCGAAAACCTTCACAGTTCCCTGGTGTAAGCCCACGGCCAAGCACGCAGAGCACAGGGCAGGGCAGACAGCGCGGATCTCCAGTGCGCCGCTCGGCGCTGGGGCCCCGCTCGGCGCGGCCGCTCCGAGCCGTGACTCCCGCGGAGGGAGCGCCACCTGCCGGCCGCGCCGCGGAGCTGCAGCCCCGCCCGCACCAACCGCGGCTCCGACCGCGGGCAGGGAAATGAGGAAGGAATTCGTGACCAAGAGTTCTTCACGCGTCCTATCGTCTAGCACACACAAGTGGGACATAAATACATGACACCCAAATACAAACCAAGATGACCAAGTTTAAATGCGCTGCTTTCAGCTTTGCAGTTAAAGATATTATTGAATGAAGCATCTTGTTATTTCCCTTGAGTTTTTATAATAAATATCAAGAAAACTACACAAATAATTTAATGATCTTTGGGAAATATATCAGAGGTAATTTTGCAGGTAGTTGTAGCTTAAAAATAATGAAAAATCCCAATAAATGTTGGGGTTATGTTTGGTTATGCAAAAGAAGCCAAATCACCCCTGAAGTTTAAAACAAAGCTGGAACACCCTTTAAAGAGGTGGAGTAATAAGCTGATTGTCTGCTTTTAGCTGTTATCTCCCATATTCAACTGTCCTTGTTAAATTGTCCTTCTTACCACCTCCAGGGGCTCTGCTCTTACCCAGAGAAGGCACAAACAGTACCCAGGGAATACCCAGGAACGGGAGACAAACACAGAACCAAGGGACAAACAGAGGAGAGAAACTCTCATTAAGCCTAGGCTACTCCAAGTATTCGCTGTATTCAAGAACTTCAAAGCTGAGTATGGTCTTTGCCAATTTAAGTTTTGGTTATGACTGAGTAATCTAGATAACCTGAAGAGTGACCCACCTTCTACATCACAAAAATTACAGTAAGTCACTATTACTGCATTTACTTATCTGAACAAAAGCATCACATCAAGGCTTAGGTCAGTCATAAATACTCCAGCCTTTTCCTAGGGAGACCACTAGAAAAAGCCCACTTTAAAACACATTTAAGCACTCCTTTCACTTCTTTGAGACAATCAAGCTCACCATGGTCACCCCTCGGACCATGCTGTCTTTAAAAACGGAACATTTTCCAAGCAGGGAAGTCAATACAGCACTGCAAGGTCAATGTACTTACTATGGGTGGCTTTTAGAGGGTGAGCAATTAATACAGAAAATTACATGAAATACTCAAATACTTTCACACTGTATGGAAAACATGACAAGAGTCAAAATAAAGGAAAGCAAACGAGAAAAACCCAGACTGATTGTTCTGTAAGCTTTGAGGTTTTATAGAGAGCCTACAGAACCAGTGCAACAGAGATGCTATGGATTGACAGCATAAACTCCTGCACAGCTTACACAGAAATCAAACCACATGCTTTGTTTAAAGCCAAACTGCATATTTCAAACACAGTTTGATTCCAGATAATCAGTAAGAGCAAGAAACGTCATAAGCCCTAAGAAGGCCCCAAAGTGCATAAGTAGTCATTCATAAAATAAAGCCATTGCACATGATGCACAGTTCAAGTGTACTGAAGTACCACACTGGAAGAGCTGAGAGCACAGTTCTGTCCAAGCCAGTGTAGCAGCATTTATATGGAGAAAGCTATTGACCCCAACTTATAAATTATCATCTTCCTCATAAGGATAATGGATGCAGACTGAGAAGGTATCTGTCTGGAAAGATGTAAAACTTCCTGTAACATTAAACTGCTTGACACTCCAGTTGTATGATTTTGGAAAATTCTGTAAATTATGACAGAATAAACCAGCAAAGCCTCACTGCTGAAGGCAAGGCATTATTTTGCAATTGGCTTACAGAACAGAAGCAATGCCTGAAAAATCAGACAATGTGGAGGACAAGGTTATAGCTCAGTACACAGGCTCAAGCTGACGGAAGTGATACAGCATTTGTCAGGGGGAATGCTTTCAAGAAAGTATTATTTACAATTTCTTCATCCTTCTGCACAGAGCCTGTTTGCAGTGACAAGATCTACCACATCATCAACTAGCTCCTGCTCTCTGGTCAGCTAGCCACAGTGATATGTGTTCTCCCCCAGTACTCCCATATAAACACTGGTAATCCAAGACAGGATTTGCCAGATATTTAAGGGTAATACAGCTTGTGCTTAGGCAGCATGAAACTGAGTGAATCCGGTCTTCACAAATGGGAGGGTGGACTAGTTGAGACTTATCTCATTACAAATCATTAAAAAGGCTATAAAGTGGCATTCAGCAACTTCCTTAGCTGTGTGAGTGACCTGAACATACTGGCAAGGAAAACTGATGATACAGGATAATGTTTCATAGGCCTCTCTTAGGAAAAGTTCCAGAAAAGAAAAAGCATGATGCAGCAGGACCAGAAGTCCACATAGACCAACATTAACAGACCAACAACCTGAAGAGTTGAACAATCAGACTCTCTCATTAACCTACAACACTGCTCAAACATAAAGGAAAAAAAAAAAAAAAGAACAATCAAAACCAAAAAGCTACAACAGGAATCACCTTTCGTAGTGACAAAATAACTGTTCTGGGTCCCTGCACCATATTTTGTCTTGAGGTAGCAACATGGAAAACTTCACACACTTACCACACTACCTCAGTCTCTTTATGAATCTTCAGAGCAACTAAATGGAAGTTTCAGGTATAGAAAGCTATAAAAGTACTGTCTTGCCCAATAGGTTACTGTGCAGTAAAACAGAACAAAAATGATGTAGTTGAGAGCAATCACTAAGAGAAGGTAACAGGACTGCCCAGCAACATACTTCACGTCCCCCCCCTCACCCATCAGGTCTCTGAAGATGACTCAATGGCTTTGTCTAGTTTAACACATGAAAAGAAAATAATTCTGAATTAAGAGATGTATGAAGGCATTCCCTAAGGGGAAGTTCCCATTTGTCACATTGACATGAGACCACACAAGAAAGGCAGCAAAACTATTCAGAGTTGCCCACAATCAACCTTCTGTTTTGTCCACAGCTGCTTGCTCCTGATACAATGCTCCTTTAGCCCACCACATTGGCATTGACATTCAGTGGTCCACTCCAGTCTTTCAGTCTTCCACCTTCTTCCACCTTGTCACACTGCTATCCATCAAGTAAGTAGACTACAACTTCATAGGTGGACATCATGATAGCCGTGTTTGGAATCTGTCTGATCAGGTGTGTAGTTAGACCTCGGTAAAGGGAGCCATACCCTTCCTCTCGCACAAGCAAAGAGAGTGTCTGGAAGAAAGATCTGTATTTTGTTCCCTCTTCTCTTAGTCTTGTTCGTACAACCTCTGTACAAAGAAAACCAGTGGAAAAAAAAATTGAGTGGTTACATTCACCACTTCTCATTATTTTTCCCAGCAACTCATCAGGGATTTTTAGACAAAAATACCCCTCCCCAAGTTCTCAATCTCACAACTCCTCTTTAAAAAAAAGGAAGAGGAAGACAGTAGAAAACCAAGAAGAGAGCAAGTATTAGATATTTGACTAAACAAGGCAAGTTCATTTGCTTAGCTACAATCCAGAAGAGGACTGTTGCTTGAGGTTACCTTTTAGCTCAGAAGTTGACCTAAGTTCAGTGCTCAATTCATTAACAAGCAATGTATACACAACTACTTTGCAGGAAAATCAAGTGCAACTGACACACAAACTAGGCAGCCTGCATCCCTAGAAGGGACACAAGAATTTGCTGGCACATTATGGAGAATTGCTGAGTATATGGAAAGATTCCAACTGAAAAAGTACCTCTTTGAATACCTTGGGCCATTCCCTGGCCAATCCCTTGGCAAAATAAATGTTGCCTAAGAAAAGGTCATGCTGGATATCCACTGTAAAGCACTTCCATTTCTGAATACTATACTCACGTTGACCTAAATCTAATATTCAGACAGGGAAACCTTTCTTGAGCAAGTAAACCAAAGTTGGCTAGAAATCTCACTGAGAAGACTCCCTTTGATGGATCTGACTCAGGGTCTCAGCTGCACATGTCCCACTTACCATGGGGATATGCTATTGATGTTGCACATGTTTTGGAAGTGGCAGCAGCCATCATCATTCGAACAAAGTCCGATGCTTCTTTTGCTGATTCATCCTCATTGTCCATGGCAGCAGCAGTCTTATGCTCCAGTAATTTTTTCTTAATACTCTCATAAATGACAAAGTGAATAACAGTCTCAGATATGCCTGCATAGGACGCAGACATTCCCCGGTAAAAGCCTCTAAAGCCATCCAAGTGATAAACTTTGCGGGCACACTCAAATGCGCTCATTCGCTTTTCTCCACGATTCCTACAAAGGAGAAAACAAGTCTGAGTATTAACTGGTGCAACCAGTGAGACTGGACAGTTAATTAAACAGGTTTGTAGTGACAAGAAGACTTAGGAAATACCCAACACTGATGCTGAGAGGCTCCAAGTCACTTGACCGTCTCAAAGGCCTTCAGCACTAAACACAAGTAAAGCATTACATGGAATCCAAGCCGAACTCCACACCGTGACTAAAGACAAAGTATCACAGTGACATGTTGAGCAGCTTCAGGCCTCCCCAGCTCTCATACAATAAAGGGCTAAACTGCTTGGAAACAGACTCCCAAATGGACTATCAATGTCAGCGACTCATGAGAAAAATGACCATTTCCTTTTGCAAAATGGATATGCCCTAATTGCTGCCTCAATAAAGAGCTCCACAGCATTGAGTGGCTAAGAGTTGAAACAGCAGCCCTCAGCATTACAGCTCTCAGCAAACAACTGGCACAGCAACCAGTGCAACACTGGGAGCTGTTGTTTGATTGAACTAAGCCACTGCTGTTGTCAAGGAAAATGCTCATTAGACATAGCTGTTTCAAGCAGTACTTAGGAAATCAAGTTTTATTCCCAGTTTGAGCTTGCTCACTGAATTGAGTTGTGCATACTGAAGTAGTTGGAATACAGTACAAAGCTATGCAAACCCATGACAACACTGCATGAGATGTGCTTCGCTACAGCTGCAAGTGCAGGCACATGGATTGTGCCAGCAGAGGTCTGAGTGAGCAAGCCACAGAATAAAAATAAATACCTGAGGATGTTCAAAGCCTTCTTCTAAACATTTGCTACAATACTGAATCCATATTTCAGGAATGTTTAGTTCAACAGTTAAAGAGAACGTATTACTGAATGAAAATGTAAGCATATAGTTGGTAGAACATGATTTTAATGAAACTGTTAACCTTGTAGTTCATTCCAAATTTGCTGGTCAGTCTACTACAGTGCCTCAAGCATGTCTCAGAACGGATTAAAAAGAGAAGTGATAGTATAACTTGTAGAGACCAGCATCAACTCTGCAAATCTGAAATGCTGAATATTTAAGAATTCATTCTATTTTGGAGTGCAGAACAGATTCACAACACTTGAGTACAATGTTATCACAGCAGTGAGGTTTCCTCTTTACCTTGCATCAAGCTGTAATCGTGTCTTTACCAACCAAATAGGATTAGTTGTTGTGATAGCAGTAAAGCCTAAAAAATGTAAAAATAACATAATTAGATGTAATAATACCACAAGAACAGATGCATCTAAGTTCCAAATGCACACAGTTAAGGTACAGTGGATGCAAAAACTCGGACTATACTGATTTTTCTGAAGTCCCCATTTCGTGAATCCATACAGCCAATAAACACTTAGATTGTTTTTAAATTTTACATTAATATTGAGTAAGTTTGATTCTTAGCAAGAGATGCCCCGTATAAAATAAGCCAAATTAAGTACAGTTCTCTGCCTATCTAATACCAACCCTGTTTTGACACCAAAGAACAGCAATGCCAACTAGACAAATATCAGCCAATTGGGCAAAAAAGTCAATAAGAATGCATTGCAGAGACAGCAATAGCAATTTGAGATGCTATAAAACATTGCCTCAATTTACTTTGTTACCTGAAATACAATCCGAGTTTAAAAGCATGCAGACTGAATAAATACTACTTTTGGTGCAGTTAAAAGGCAGTTATTACTGCAAATTAGGAGACCTTTTAATACTGAACTATAAAGAGCAGTTATATTTGAGTGCTAATCTTTTATTTAGTATTCAAAGCAGAGATTGTTGGCTGGCCTTGGAATACTTTCAGAAGCATATGAGTGTTTAAATCGTTAAAAGTAAATACTATGACTTCTAACTATTCAGACAGACAGCAACTACTCAGGCTTGCATAAGGGCCAAGGGTTAAAGCTTTGATTTTCAGTCCACTAAAGAAAACAGAAGAAAAAGAAAAAAGGAAACAAAAAAAAAGAAAAAAAGAAAAAAAAGAAGTAAGAATTACTCTTACTTCTGCACAACCGTGGAGAGAGAGAGAGAAAGCAGAGTGAAAGGCAGCTCTGAAAAAAAGTAAAATTTAAAAAAATCATCTCAAGCTGTAATATCACACATGCACCATCAATGAGGTGTCATGTCTGCAGGAGAGAATAGGAAAAGGGAAAAGCTGGAACATGGCCAGGCAAGAGATGATAAATTTAGACACTTGCTCTCTAAGTGACACACATGGCTGGTTTATAACTACAAAGACACACTGCCCTCCTGCAAGGGGATGGACTGGGTGTGTGGGGAAGGACAGAGTTACCTTGCTCAGTGCATGGCTGGGGCACAGTACTTACCCAGCAATAGGCTATTGATAAGCTCATTTATCAGATCACTAACAGCTCACAGAAATAGATTTAGCAGACTGGTTGCAAACATGTTAACTCCTGTTCAATCACAATCTAGGTTTACATTGCACACAAAGGTCTGCAAGACTCAGAAATGCCAGGGGATCTTAACTGTTCTAAGGTTTTATCTGTGCCCACCTTCAAAGCTTAAACAGGTCATTATGGTTTTCATTTCAGGTTCTAAAAACAAATTATCAGATTTGGCATCTACTAAGATTGAGCTGGTTCTCTACACCAGAAGAATAAAACCAGATGGAGGCTTCTGTTCAATTTTCTGATTAAACAGATTTTAGACTGACTCAAACTGCGTAACTAAACAGCTTCCTATGGTAGATAATAAAGATTTGGAGTTGGCTTTTTTCTGATTCACTACTCATTTTTTTTATATCTCAGTACTTATGTATAACCTTCACATAATGGAGTGAAGTCCTAACAAGCCAAGAGTTCTATATCTCTTTAATGGAGGCAAATAACAATGTAAAAACTCAAAGCACTGCGGAACAACTCTGCCAAAACAAGGCATGAGATGTTTTTAAAAATACCACATGTGTAAAACAGGTTCTTGTTGTTCAAGCAGCCATAACCTTTCTGACCTGTCACTTCAGGTCACAGAAACTCCACTGATTCCAGTTGTGCTTGAAACTGAGCTCAACTACACTGAGAGAAAACTTCTTGCATGGTTTTATTTCCTTACACTAGCACTAATAAAGTTTTAATTTAGTTTGACTTCCAATCAGAATCTCTGTGGCATGAAGTGCACTAGGAAATGCACAGAACTGCAACAAAGGCTTTGAAATAAGGCAGGGAAAAATATCACTCACTTTCCCTACCAACACATCTTCCATGAAAGACTTCTCTCCTAGTTCTTAATTATAAGTTAACAAAGCCAAAAATCTTTTGCATTCCTATTAAAGTTGCACTTTTGGAATTTTGTAACTCTTAGACTGTAACATATGGCCTTTCTCCTTCATATTCAACTCAAAATAAGGATGTCTGCAAATCCTCAATCTGGACCAGGCAATGCATAGGTGCCATCAGTGGCAGTGGCCGAGTAGAGGGAATCAGAAATCTCCAGTGAAAAGTGGTTGGCAAAGGATGCAGCCCCTACTCTACTCAAAACTGCATTCCTGGGGTCACTCTAAGCATTATTTTGATGCAGCACCTCCAACACTAGGATCAGACACTCAGCAACATGGCCAGTATTTTTTCCCATGGCTGTCACAGGCCTAAGTTGACAGTTCAAACTGAAGTTTTCAAATCAAAGGGCCTTCAATAATTCAGGTTTCAAGATGTGATGACTACAGGTCAATTCTTACAGCTAAAGTAGCAAATGCAGTTAGTGAAGAAAAATTAATTGGGTGGTGCTGACACCAAGGAAAGCCCTCCAAAACATAAAACATACCATTTAGGATCCTTGAGAAGATAAACTGTGATTTTTTAAATACAGAAAATCTGTAGCAAAAATGTTTGTTAAAACAAACTTTGGGGGCTTTCAACAACTGCCATGAAGCTCCACCAATTGTTTCCTTTTTTCTTTTTAAAAGCCTTAATGATCTTTATAGTACTTCACAATGCCTATCGATGTGTTTCACCCTCAAGGAAGATCCCAGATCCGTGACATGTACAGATATATCTGGCAATACTACAAACTCCTGTGTTTTTATTTTATTGTATCCCAGCTTCAGACAGAATTATCTCAATCTACTTCTTCAGCTATCCCAGCCACTGACAGGTAAGATCCCAGGTATTCCTATTATGCATCATATTTAAAGGATAGGGTTGGTGCTTCTTAATCTACAAGCCAATGTAATCGATACAGACGCATGTGAACATGGAATGATGAATTAAAATTTAAAAGCAGTAAAATAAAAACAAACCAAAAGAGTAAACAGAAAGAGACAGAAAGGATTATATACATATATTAAAAAAGAAAAAGAAAAGAGGTCTTTGAAATAAATGTGACAACACAGAATATCAGCTGCAGCACTTTAAAGGCAGCTCTGGAACACAGGGAAAAAAGCTCCCAAAATGCCTTGTTTAACCCAGTAGGGGCCTTCAGTTGACCAGAGCTAAGTAGAGTAGCAGCTCTCAGTGAAAGGTATTTCCTACCTTTCCCTGAACGGCACAAAAAAAAAAATCACTCTAAACAGAGTTAAGGAAAAGTGATGTCTTTGCACAATGCACATCATCTGAGTTCAAGCTAGAAGTGTGTTCCCCTTACGGTGTTTATTCAATAGATATCACAAACCCAATGTGTGGTTCTTACACTAGAGGCTGCAAGAGACGCTCAGTTCAGTACTCACGAGGTTTAAGTTAGTCCATATTGCTGCAGGAAGTGACCTGCGGAGGGGGAGCATGAGATGACACGATCTCACTCTTTTCACGGGAGAAATGTACAGTAAATGCCTAAAATAGACACAGGCTTTTCTGTATCATAACAACAAGCAGTGACCTCATCAGACACAAGTGTACAAATCGAATCCCAGTGGAAGGATTTGTCAATTAGTTATTGGGAAATCTAACTGTTTGCAGGTAAAAGTTTAGGAAAAAAAAAAGAAAAATAATCAAAACAGGCCACAGATATTAAAATAGATGTGTAAAATGCACTGAGTACTGAAATTTCTGCTCATTTGCAGCAATTTAAGTTTACACCTCCAAATACTTACCTATATAGAAAATTTACAAGTGAAACCTCCTCCTTCCCCACTCCCTTGAAAATACTATTCACTAAAGCTAGCCTAGTCTTGAGACAGAAAAGATGCCTTATGAAATCCAACTTTCTAAGATCAGTGAAGTAAATATGCATTTTATTTGGTATAAATTAACTGCGTACACAGCACTAAAAACTTAAAAAGTAATGTATCTCTAAGTAATGTAGTGGTCCCAATTATTTTTAAATAAAGAAATAATAAAATCTCTATTTGGATTGGTTTGCCAGTAAAGTTCTAGAAAAAAATAGCAAAAGCATACAAGGCAAAGTAGTTTTGCAGCAGATTTGCAACCATGTTGTCTGATTGAGGCTGTGAATCATTTAAAAAGCAAACAAGAAAGCCAAACAGGAATCAAGTAACTCATTCAGTTCTCTACAGCTTTTCTTCTGTGGCGAGAGAGGTTGAGTGCAATGAGAAGGCAGAGTTTATAGTGAATCTGAGAATTTAGCCTAACTTGGAAATGTCCAGAAATCAACTCTCTTCACGCAAGCAAACAGTCTTGTACCAAGCTCAGATATATTCCCTGCCCTAGTCTGCAAAAAGAGAACCACGGCTATGCTGAGGAGTAAGCAAAAAGGATTGCTGAGTACATCTTCATGTCAACACAGATATTTTAGGCATGAAGGGGATGTGCTTATATGCTGGAAACTAGCACAGCAAGAAAACAGCATTCATTTCTGTCTGCATAAGGCATCAGTTACTAATATGTAGATACTTCACTCTCCTGAGAATAAAACAAACTTAGAAGAAACTTGAAAGCCATTAATATGTATTTTGAGAATGAAGAATCAGGCCTAAAACCAACCAACAAAAAAAATATGCTTAAAATACTATACCTCAGCTTTCATTCCCAAAACCACCAAGTGCATAAAACAATCCTTATTTAATAAGGACATCAGTCTAGCCTGAGACCTGTATTAGCACATTATACAAATAAACAGAATTTAAAGTTGACTGAAGTTCACTATTTGCAGTACTTTAATAAAACAATGTCACAATTATGTTGTTTAAAAACATATTTTTGCATCATTACTGTATTTTGCAAGCTACAGGAAAAGCTTTGTTAAGTGCAAATCTGACTTCATGCTAATTAGGTATTAGACTTTATGAAACAGGAAGTCATATCCAAAAAAACCACCAACCCACCAAAAAACCACCAACAAAACAACAATCCTCATTTAAGACTGTATTACTCAATTCCTTACTGAAACCAATGGCAGCTGAAAAAGAAAAACATCAACACTGATTATTTTTTTGCTAATTCTGAAGTATTCATCCACCTCGCCAATTTTGCAATCTTAGGTTCCAAAGCAAATATTGCAATGATCCTATGTATTAACTTGTCAACCAAGTAAGAGCTCACATTTGATCTTGTCCCTGTTATTTTGCCAATTCTTTAAGGTGATTTGCATCACACAGCAATACAAACCTTGCAGGTAAAACTGTTAATAGCTGGTTTAAGTGCATTTTCTGAAATATATTAGAATTACAAAAACAAGGTTAGCACATTCCCAAGAAAGCACTGTTAATTTTAGCTGCAGAGTCCTTTTTATACATCAGAATAACACCAGAAGAGAGAATTGTAATGTTGTTTGTCAAAGAACCAGAGAATTTCTGTACTCTGCAGTGGCAAGACCTATGGTGTGAGCCTGCACTGAGCATTCTGTTTCACTGACTGTGGTTTAGAAATACAACTGCAGAACCTGGGAAGTATGAGAAGGTTAACAGCCCCAAGAGCTGTTCAGTCTTAGGACTTGTAAAAAAAGGCAAACAGCAATTAAGGCTGAAATCCATTTCCCAGTCTACTGCAGCTGCATGTACAAATGCACAACACCAATCTTCAGGAAGGGAAGCAGCTACAGAGCTCCATGACAAACTACAGCGTGAGGCTGCAAACACCCAGGAAAAGGCACTACAGCACATCTCCACAAATGTGCTTTACCAAATGAGGGCAGGAACTTCCAAAGATGAGGAACACTCAGAATCTTCATTTGTCTGCAGTACTGCATGAGATGCACAAGTTACCTTCAACTGAGGACAGACTTGTTCATACCCTCCACACTTCCCCCTGCACCCAAATTAAGGGCATGTTTTATTCCCTTAAGGGCCTGAAGACTCCTCATCTTTCTTGATGAAATTAGGCTGAACTCTTCATTAAATCCCCTTCCATCCCATTCTCCATGCTGTTCACCAACAAACAAAAACACTCGCTTCTAGATGATAAAAAACCAAATGCTGCATTGTCTTTGTCTGACTTGGGCAAAATAAAGGAGCTCTTCTTACACCTTAAAGAAAGCTGTCACAACATTTCATGCGCCAGAGATGAACACTAGTGTCTTTTAGGTATAAAGCTAATGTCACTTGCATTTTATACACTATGTATCTCTGTGTATCAGATTAGCAAGCATTAAATAGAAAACAAATCCTGTTCCTTATTCTGACATCACACCTTTATCAGTCCATTCCAGATTGCCAGTACTCACATTCTACAGACTGGTTGTAAAATTTGATAGGACTTAGGAACTTCAACAATTAAATTGACAGAATTCATCTGTAAAGAGCCCATGGCCTATAATAACACCTGAACACTTGCTTTTGTGCAGGAAAGGCAGATAACATAACAGGCAACAACAGATAAAGTGTTGCCAACCAATGTTTTGATTTTCTAAGCACGAGTCCATGACCATAACTCAGCTAAGTTGCCTTTAACTCCTCCTTGTGAATGATCCCAAAGCACAGAATATTCAAATCAAGCAACAAATATTTACAGCTGCTAAAATACACCAAAGTTACACAGCAGATATAAAATAGGAATTATTTCTACAGAGATGAAAATACATGAGAACTACGAAAAATCTGCTTTTCTCTGACATTTTAGTGGCAGAGTAAAGTTCTCACAGACTGGTATATAAGCAAAGGAGGAGGGATTGTTACATATAATTTACATAACTGCAGGCACATTTCTGAAAGAGAAAAATAAGTCAAATATACAAAGCTGTAGCAGAAAGTGGGGGTAAAAAACTGATTAGGAAGAATTAAACAAGAAGTCAGTGCAAACACTGTTTATAGTTTACAGAGCAACAAGTTACTGTTTTGAAAGGTTACATTTTTCATTTCACAAATTTACAACTGAAAAAGCAGGCATGAAGGTGTTCTAGAGAGGAGTGTTCACACACACTGTTATTTATCACTTAGTGCAGTTTCATGAATATATTCTCCAGAGAACCTGTTTAATGACAGGCCAAGGCAGATAACCACTAAAAAGACATCATTCAATTACTGATCATGTTCTGTTTTGTTGGGGTTTTTTTTTCCTTATTTATTGTCACCTCTCATTTGCAGATATGACTGTAGGATGAAGCAAAAAAGTTACAGATCCTTACCTGCCACACCAGCTGAAATCATGTGTACCTGGGTAGAATCTGGATTGAAAATATTGTTCAACTTTTCCTTGCAATTTGAGTAAGCAGCAAAATATATTGCTCTAAAATTAGAACAAAATCCAAGTTACATTATGTTTTACATTTCAAAATTCTCAAAGAGCAGCACCATTGGCTTAACTGACTGAAGATTATCTTGGGCTACAACTTCCTTCCCCAGTAAAGAACTAGTGAAGGATTAACTCCTGCAAAGCAGTGGGACTACTCTAAGAATGGAAATAAAGACTCTACACATGACACTTGACTTTTTTTTTTCCCCCACACAACAGCTCCAATTGTAATTAGCGAGGGGAAGGACAGATAGTTTCAAATATGGTAGTGATTTTTGTGACACTAGGAAGTTCAGCCAGGGAAGAAAAACACTGAAAAAATTTTAGTATTCTTCAACATTAATAACAGAACAAACTTTCTCTAATGAACCTAAACACATTTCAACAGCAGGACAATTTGTAGAGAGCTACCAAGTATGTAGCTTCTTAAAAAAAACAAACAACTTTCTAATTACTATAGCATTTAACATTTAAATGTTGGTAACTTGATGTTATAAATATTTATACTTTAAATGCTAGAACAGCTGTGAAGCTGTGATTCACATTTTGTTTCCAGACTTCTGTATTTATAATAGACACTGATTTTTGTCTCTGAACACACCATGAAAAACGTTGTAAACTTGTGCTACACAAGTCTGTGAGCTGGTATCCAAACAAAGCTAGACAAACTCTCAACCAATTCAATATATTACAAAAAATGGTTGTTTTCATTCATTAAAGCTAAAAAACTTATTTTAAGCACATATAAATCTCACATTTCAGGTTTTAACTCAGTTGTTTTAAGTCCACAGACACCCCTATGCAAGAGAAAAAAATGAATGTGCCACTTTTCTCAAGCAGAACATTAACCTCATTAGCTGTACTAACATGTTTTTCTTTATTACGAAGAAGATAAAGTGCTTGCTTTATGGGTGTAATTTCTAAAATGGAACCTGAACTCAGTTAAGTACACTGGATGTGTTATGAAATATGCTCCTCTACAGCTTATTTAAACAAAGAGCTGATGTTAAATCCACTTAGCTAATGCTTAATTGAAATGAAGTACTGGTTGAAGACAGAAACAGCCAGAGGGAAATGAAGATGTGCTTATAAATAAGGTTTACACACTACATCAAGCAGACATTTTAGCAAGCTAAGTATTTCACCTAGGGGAAGAACCAAAGGGAAACAGAAGATTTAACATATAATTAATTGAAAAGAAATATATATATTTTTTTCCAACTGAGCATGGACAATAGTCACTTATGCAATGGATCCCATTCCTGGGTAAAAATTGCTATTAAATGATATCAATATTGAAGATTTGGTAGAACAGACTGATCTATTGGACAAAAGTACAGGCTTTCCAGACTGTGCTGATATCCCACAGGTGTCAAGAACAGAAATGCTGCTGGGTTTACTTCAGCTTTTCCAAAGGGCAGCGCTAAGTTAGTGATCAGAAAGCACCTCTGATATTCCTAAATCCTTAAAAATTTGCTAAAATAAAGATAAGAAAAAGTTTTATGAAATAATTAGGTTATTTATGCAGAGGAGCGAAATAATATTACCTCATCAGAGCCAAAGTTCAGTTTAGTAGTTACTTTTCAGAAACATCCAAATACCTCAAACCAGTAAAGATATTCTCCAGCTGAGTATGCAGGAGATAGAAATGTTGTTTTCTCTTCAAACAAAACAAATAAACAAAAGCAGGGCACTAAGTCAAGGAAAGAATAAAACCTTTGTGGAATATATTCCCTCTGCATAAAGGCTCTTAAAGAGAGAAGAAAAAGAAAAAAAGAGCCAGGAAACAACTCCCAGTATCCTCATCCAGGCCTAAGCAATATATTACTTTTACACAGCTTTGTTTTATACTCTTCCCATGTATTCTCCTATTTTTGGACTGAACTTCAGCTGACAGTTCTATGTAAGGATAAATTCAAACTCTGGCATACTATGCTCTCTGCCTGCCTGCCAGCACCAGCTGAGGAACTGGAGTATTTGTGCTGATGCAGAGCAACAGACAACAGCAACACCAGTGCCAAGCAGATCAGATTTACATCCTTGGCCCTGCACTGCCCCAGTACCCTTTGGAACCCAGTCCACTGCTGGATCTGTTTTTCCTGGGACAGCTGGTGAGTCTCTCCTCCTACCCAGTGTCTCACCCTTTTTATAACAGGTTTCCTCCTGCAAGGGAGCACCAGGCTGTGCTTCACCAGAACTCAGGAAGGCAGGCCCAGTGTTTTAAGGCAACAATCAAATAATTGCTTCCTGAAGATGATGAATCAACTGAAAGCTAAGCCTACCTTTGTATTTTCCATTATCCAAACTTGTAGTTTACATGTGCAATTACTTAATTTTGTTTTAACTGGACAAAAACCCTACACAAGGGATAGTACACAACAGTAAATACTATTACAATAGCACATAGGATGGGAAATGCTGAGAGCTGGAGTTCTAGAGTACATAAATGGCTCAATTCCTCAGGCAAAAAGTTACCCCAGGAACCAAAGGTTACTTGCTGCTAATTAAGTATTTACAACTGCAGATGCAAGACTTACTTCAAATATACATTAAAGACCTTAATGTATTTCATTTATTGTGCATGTTTGTATTTACCTGGAAGGAGCAACGCCAACTAAATTAGGACCCAGCCCTCTGAACAGGGAACGAGGGCCCTCATTTTGCAAGATCATCCTAGAAAACAAGAATACAATATTGTAACACTCAGAGCAAAATTCAGGAATGCACCAACCACCAAAACTACCTCGTGAAAAACTTTCATAGTTACTGGCAATAATACAGTGCATACCACAAAGAAAATTAGTAATTTCCTAGAATCAGCATAAGAAATTACATTATTGCTCAAAATACCATGAAAACCATAAACTAAATGCAGAAATAAGACTTGAGATCTCAATACAGATTTAACTTGTATGTAGGAACACATACACATACAGAGTTGTCTGTTAGGAAGTTAAAGAAAGTGTCCTTGAATCAGAGAGAAAATACTAAGCATGGAAATGTTCCCATTCATGTAAGTTGCAGATTGTTCAGGAGGCAAAAATACTTCGTTCTACACTACATTCCTTTCATCACCATTCAGCTCCCAATGTTTGTGAACTTTTTTGAGTGGGAGGGCCAGGGAGCAAAAGGCAGGAGAGGAAAGAAAGAGACTTTTAGAAGTCTAGTTTCACTCAGTCATTGCTGTCTGAGAGCCATCCTGGAAGATGTTGCTCTACTGCCTATGACACCCAGCCAGGGACACGTTTGGCAATTTATTATTTTCTCCTTCTTTCAAAGGGAGACCTCAACATGGCTTTGCATGTGCTACCCCAGTGTGATTCCACAAGACTCGGACAGGACACTAAGTTTCATGGCAGAAGTTAGTATCTGTAAGGCTGTTTTTCTATTTATCCTGCCTTTCTCATACCCATAAAATGCTGAAATCCTTTAAGGATTCAACTAGAAGCCCATTCTTAGCTTTATTCTTTAAGACATGGTGATTATTTTGACTATAGCAAAAGAAACCTGAAAACTTAAAAGTGAGAAGTGATTCTTTCTAGAGGCTGGTAGGGATTCCCTCCTATCAGTTCTGAGCTGCTGCCTATGCGCTCCTAACCAGGCTCTGCTGCTGGGCTGTGGAGCCAGTGGTTTTTTGGCTTTTAATTCATTGCAGGGAAGATAATCCTTAACCTACCCATGCAAGGTAATTCACTGATAGTAACTGAGACACGAGTGCAACCCATGCAGAGTCACAGCCACAGCAGAGTCTCACATCTCTGTACCATGTCTACTATAAACACAGCTCAGGAAAGATTGCTTGGGTGACAGCAGGGTGTAACCTTGCACATTTGTGGAATTTACAGGAAACATGGTAAAAACAGCAAGGTGAGACTTCAAATAAGGCATTATTAGTCCTTTGGTTTTGCATTATGGAACCCACATAGTTGGGGATTTTAGGAAGAGCTGAAGACCTATGCACCAAGGTACCTTGGCACAGTAAGAGACTATGCATGAATATCCAGTTCTAGTGAAATCAGTCTGCCCCACAATCTAGATGCTAATCACATTGGTATTTTAAAAAGTATGGTAGGACATGGGAACAAACAAGGACTATCTGCATCCCATTACCTGAAATTGTTCTAGCAATTACTTTAGAACCAGATTTAAAGTTAATTCTTAACTACATTCCCAGATGCTACAAAACAGAACCTTGTGCTTACTGATTTAGAAGCACTGGCCAATGCACACAAACAGTTCTATATATTTCTTCCTCGAAGAACCGTGCAGGTTAACGACAAGTCAATTACTCAATAAAGCCTTGTATAAATGGCCGTTTTGTTTGGAATTTACTAGCGGAACAAACAAGTGAAAGCAATCTATAGCACTAAAAGAGATTCCAAGCCTATTCTGCCTTCCTGTTTTCAATGGTGCTGATTCACCATTGCTCTGCTGCTAAACCAAACTAAAAGTTTACCTTTGCTTCCACTAAGCAAATATAAACCAGTGGTTCTGCAGTTACCACTGCTATTTAGGAATACTGACATTTAATGTGTCCACCAACATCCCAGCTTTTTGTCCATAACAATCAGCTATCCTTTCACTATGTGGGCAGCCTCGCTCCACAGCAGTAACTGGAATACTGAACACACACTAAGACACCTTGGAAATACAAATTATTTGGACCTGTCTGTCATCATGAAAGCATTTCTATGCCTTGCCATGCTGAACCCAATTAACATGATCTGTATCCACTTAAACCACTACTACCACATCATGTGTTACACATGTATGTATGCTCATATAGGTACACATGTATTCAAAGCAGCAGGAATCTCAGGGTCTTAAACTTAGGAATGAAGTGTACCAGGTCTAGCTGCTTCTTTTGGATCTACAGTCCCAGAATTTTACAGGGCAGCAAAAAGCTAAAGAGAGGTTGCAACAGACAGGATCATCATGGAGGTAGTTACTGATGCTGTTTTGCATTCAGACACCAACTGGAGGAGTGCCAGAGGCTGCACTGAAATAAAACACAAACTTCTTGCATTAAAGAGCAGATCAGAGGGCCTGCACTTGTTTATTGAAAACAGTTAAGGGCAAATCCATGGTTGGAAGAGCAGGAAAGTACTCCATACAGCCCCAACTGACTTTAGGTCACATGGAGAGCCTGCACTGGGAGGCTGGTGAGATTTCCATTAGCAAGACCCCAGGTTTAAATTGTGCAACATGAATGATGAGAAAATGTAATATGACATACAACACAGATATTTGAGAAAAAAAGAATTTGCTTCTGTTGCCAGAGAATAGAGTCACCTGTTTTTCTGAGTTTGTTTCCTGACAGAGATGCCTTTCAAGTCACCTCCACTGATGCTTAAGATGCAGAAGTGATTCTACAGCAGTCATTTCACTGAAATTCTGACATAATTTGCCTGAATCACTCTGCTTTTAGACTGAGTAACGTGAGCCTTGAGCACTGCACGGAATTTGCTATGACACAATCAAAATCTGACAGCTATGAGTCAAAAAATACCTAATGACAGTAGGGGCATGACAGTGACAAAGGAACCCAGTTTAATTTCCCCACTAAACAGCCCTAGTACTTTAACCAAGAATAGCTATGTCCTGTAAGCATGTATTTTTATTATCACAGTCCACTGCCATGTCCTGTGGGCCATACAAGCCTTTTAACTGTAGCCTTACAACTTTCCTGCTGGCTCCTGAACTACACAAGCACTGCAAACAAGGAGAGGTATCCCCTACTCAGTGAGGCACTACACAACACAGATCACTGCAAAAGCCAGCCTTAGCTATTTCTTACTAGCTCTAAAAGAATTTTACAAGTCACACATCCACCAAAAGATATTCAAAGGCAAAAACTGTGTGGGTGGTGAAAGCGGAAAGAGACTAAAAGTGAGTTAATTTTAATTGCCTCCATATTCAGTAATTTCTATGATTTGGACACAAAACAGTTAAAGTCTTACACTAACACTTTTTCAGGAGGAAAATAGGACACTTAAACAATTAAGTGTTAGTGAATTTTGGGGATGCAGTTTGGAGCTGTGAGTTGTACAAGGTATATATGCTCTGGCTACTTCAACAGACAAACTCAAGCATGAAGGACATTAAAAAAATTGGAAACACAGTTAAAAGGCAAAATATGGAAAATCATGCCCTCGTAGCATCATGGCAGATATAAAAGTCTGAATTTTTTATACAGATTTTGATCTCCTCCCTTCCCAAAATGAACCCAGTGTGCCAGGTACACTCACTTCAGACAGTGGAGAGGTCCAGGAGAAACTCTGGTTACTCGGTTGACAGTAGCACCATTCAGAGTGTTGAGATGAACTTCAGAGATGTAGAGAGTCACAGAAGAGGACTGCAGTCGTGTTTTTACAACTTCCAGTGGACATGTCAGAATTGCACCAACAGTACCTCCACATCTGCAAAGACAAACAGGATAATCACGTTTCTAAGAGAAAAAGAAACTGAAGGATACATAGAATACATTCACAGAATTGACATTATAGTCAACACAGTTCCACTACAAAAAGTGAAGAACCAGTGGAAATATTTGTGACAATGACAGTTATTCACCCTTGAAGGCAAGCAAACTGCTAACTCAGTCTGCAAGCCCCACAACTTGAAGTGAAAATTTAAACAGACAAAACGTAGTGAAGGTGCATAGTACACACTGTTCAAATCAATTCTGGAAAGTAGCTCAGTAGCTTCAATGTTTAACTTCTTATGATAAATTTTACCTTTTTTTTAATGTTTAATATGCTCCTGACCCCAAAAAAGGTGCCAAAAATCCCTAAGGGCAGAAAAGACTTATGCACTATGCACACAGGACTATGTATAAAAACTGTGGTTTTTATACATAGTCAAGTCTGTGGTGTTGCAATTTAGTAACATCTTCAAAAGCCCAACTGTATTTTGTCATTGTACCATGAAAGCAGCAATTGTCCAAGTGCTCCCCAAGCTCTGCCCACTTCAGCAAGGCAGACCAAGTACTGTAGAGTACAAACTGCAAAGCCAGAAGAGCTCATGTGGCTGACCAGGTGAAGACTTGGTGGCTTTCCTTCAGTTTGCTCTCACTCCTGAGAGCAAACCAAGGCAAGCCATGCACAACTTGTGCTGACAGCAGTTCCTGCCCTTCTGCTCAACCACAGCACAGCCAGAACACTCTGCCCTGCCCAGCTCTGCTCACAGCCTTCCTGGGCTTCTTCAGAACTCGGTTATTAATATCTACAGTCCTAGCTCTGCAACTACAGCCTTGCAGGGAAAAATAGCAAATCCACAAATTCTGAGCTCCAAGACAGTCTCTTGAACCTTTCCAGAGACCAGTATTCTTAACACTGCTAAATGCTCTTCTTAAAACTATGGCCAGGGCACTACCTATCTCCTTTAAAAAACAAACAAACAATCCAACCCAAAGAAGCAAACCTAGATCTCAGTTCAAGTATTAATACTAACTACAGCTCAGTCTGAAATCCACTAACACAAATACGATTTGTACTCAAGTCCAAGGGCCCATATTTGCTTCCCCAACAAATATAAATATAATAACATATACATAACCAGAAGTGCTTGATTCTGACAAGATAGTTATCAGCTATTTTTTTTTCTAACACAAGAAGCTCAAACACCTCCAAATAAGGTGTAAGCCTGTTCAATTCATTTTAAAATGCTTTCCAAAATGAGAAGGAGAGTTCAGTCCAAATTAGGATTAATAGCTAAGACATCCTATAAATTTTTATAGGAGGGTAGTCTGATGACTCTCTTCTACCACAGAGAATACCAAAAATACAGCCCTGCATCCTACAAACCTAATCTGTTTGTATGAACTGAACTGAGAGTAGAGTTGCCAAGTAGAAGTTTGATGTTCACTTAACACTCCATTTAAACACAGTGACCTAGAGGTATCCTATTGCTAAGCCTAAAGGCATCCTGCCGGTCCCTAGCTCCAACATTAGGCTGAGGTCTTTTCTCTTTCAAGGTTTAATTGAGGTAAGATATCGAGTTTCTTTGCCAGTCTGGAAAAAAGTGTCATCACAGGAAGATGAAAGACAGTCTTTCAGTGTGTGCTGCACACATGCAGTTCCAGCCTGACACAGACATGAGAGCAGCCTGCTCTGAATGAGCAATTCACTTGCTTCTAAACAGTAAGCTACAAATAGACTTATTTTAATTTTAAGAGTTGCAGAAAGAGAGTAGACATGCTAATATTTATTTTAGCCAGGGCTGGAAACAGTAAGAGCCTGTAACGTGAAGGTTCAAAGCACGAACAGCATATGAGAAGCACACATTGGTCAGCTCCCAAAACAATTTGTCCTGAAGCTACTGAAGCTCTAAAGCTCTGAGACAGACAGAAAGCTGTCTGTTTCCTGCAGTTCAAGTCAGACCCCACTCCATGGTAACATGCCTGTGCAGGCAATGAAGGAAGTTGGCTTTAGAGTTTACTTCCTTTCCTGCAGCTCCTCCATTTCTGTTCTCGAATTTACTCTCTTGAAAACTTTTCTGCATTTATTTTGGACAGGTTACACAAGAACTTGTTTTCAAGCAACAGTAATCACAAGAGAAAGCACAAGGTATGATTTATATTAATGAGATAAATGCTATGGAAGTAGGGAAGAAACGAGGACTAAAAAACCTTGACCTGCATTCTTGAACAGGGCTTGGAGTTTGGAGTCCTTACCCTCTCTCCCCCCCTACACCATGTTTAGAAACATTTTCTAAAGTTGAAGATTAACACTGACCTGCAGCTCATGCCCTGCATGCTCCCCTGCACCACACCCAAATCACAATGCCTGACTGCAGCACTTCTACCAGACATTCAGGGTGGATGAGCAGACACCTTTCACTCAGCAGTGGATTACTGGGGAAGGGGGCTGATACACAGCTGTAGCCACATTTCTCTTCACAGAGAAAAGCAAGGCACAACTTCCCAAGGATAATTTCTGGGATTCACATTCTCTGAACCTCAGAGAAAGAAAAAACAATTCTTATCTCATTTACTGCTCCTGTGTTGTTCACAAGTGGAATGCATTGTGGAAGATTGCTTACCTGAAGGGAATTGGTAACTGGATTCAGTTTAGATGCAATGTAATATAGAGGAAATATATTATAGAATAGTATAGTATAATAAATTAATTAATTAGCCTTCTGATAAGATGGAGTCCTCCTCGTCATTTCTCCCTGCCACGGGGGTCACTGGGAATCCTATACACAGCTACTCTGTGCTTGCTGTTTTGGCTGCAGCAGGCACTGGTCAGTGACAGCCAGCAGACACAACAGCAGCCAGCACCATGCTCACGTGCATCCTAAAGCAGCAGATTCACCTGCCTCCCTTCAAGAGCTTTTTCCTGCACCACATTCTGCCATTCAAGTAATTTCAAATAATCAGCACCCTTGGCAGTTTCTTGCTGTTGTGTTTCTTTGGTTAGGCTTTTCTTAAACAATTTAAGATGTCTTCGGTGAACCCAAAAATATTTTCAATGTTTTCCACTAACTATTGATAGTTTGAATTAAACTTCTTCTCTGTCCCTGATCTTCAAGATCTCAAATTTCTTCTTACAGCTGAAGAAAGCGAAGAAGTTCACAGTGCTGTGTGGTTCTGTGAGTCTTGGCAAAATCCCCAATTTCTACTTCTGTCAAAGTAAAGCATCACTTTCCCAGCCCTCAAAACGCTCCATATAACAGAGACAACATCTGAAACTGAAGCAGCGAAAGAAATGTTTTGATATGTTGAGGAACCAGAACTTTCTCAATGGTCACAAGATCCACTGAGTTTGAATTACAAAGGCAGAATCCAGTAACTACCCTGACTTGTCTATTTCACTTGACCTTTAAGATAAACACCACAAGGCTTGACAAAAATCTGTTTATGAAAAACTCCCAGTAAACAGAACTTGTGGGTAAACAAAGAAGAAAAACAATTAAAAATATGCACTCTGTACAAATAAGCAACTTTTAAGAAGCATAGCAGCTGTTTTGTTACAGCATCAAGGACAGTGTATTTTACTTAAGAAGTGTATTTCCAGCCTTGCTTGTTTAAGACACGACTGGGAATACCACCAGAGACAGCTAGATTTTTGTGCTCGAGTCCTGGCAGGTCATTAACAGCCAGCCACCAGGTCCACCCTACAACAAGTGCTCTGTAAATTGCCAGCACATTGCTGCCACCTTTCCTGCTCCCCTCCTCACTGGTTCAAATTAAGGGGAATACTTTTAGTTTGCGGTTTAACATAAATTAGGAACTAGAACAGTTCAGAAAAACATTTTTTTAACAGTTCAAAAAACATGAGACTTCTTTCCAACAATGCAGGTGGGATTTTGTAAATTACTTCAGAAATTTCTACTCTCTAAAACCACTCTGGGCTTGAGTTTCTCCAGTCATGCATGCACCAGGCCCCAACAAGTGTGACTTGTAGGAACATTTACTAATGTGTAACTTTTTCTCCAGGATTAGATGAATTTCACCTGCTAGAGTAAGTAGGTGAACAAACACACTCCTGCTGACACAGTATAAATGGGAAGTGAAGAATGGCAAGACCTGAGACACTCCTATGTCTGAATGCTTACTGCATTTCCAGTGAATGCTATTCAGAAGACCACTTGCTCATCTAACCTATCCTAAATGTGATATTTGCCTCTAATCAATGTTTACTACAATTCTTCTTCAGCTTTACCATGTGAGTATAAAAAAAAAAATCTTGCAAAGCTGACTTTCAGCAAAAATACCTTGATCATAAATGGGTATGAGAATCCACCTGTAGGCTCCAAGTAATTTGAAAGGGAGAAAAGCAGAAATCAGTAAGTAAAATCACAAAAATAAATACATAGGTTAAAAAAGAAAGACTAAAACCCCACTAGTAATACAGTCAAGCTAGAGAATTAAAACCTCAACTTGAGCCTTCTTGTACAATTTAAGAGAAGTCACATTCAGTGGAACAAGACACATGGACATCACAAGATGTCGTTATCATCTGCAGGATCACAGCAAATCTAAAAGAAAAATAAAACTAAGAACAGTTGTCTACTTGACATCTTTTGGACAGAAGAGTCTAGGAAGATGGCAATGGAGAACATTTCTCCTCCAGAAAGCATATACTGAAAAGAAAAAAAATACAACAGAAGAAACCCCACAACATATTTAATTTGATCCCAGCTGGAGATTTAGAAGACCATCATCTCACTGGTTTAACAGAAACAAATCTGGAACTTCTGGGCTTTAAATTCTGCTAACTTTCAACAGGTACAGCTCTGACAACCATTTTCCTCAGACACATCTGCATTATTTGTGTGACACTCCAAGTAAAAAAAGACACACATGCTTCAAAAATCTAAACCTGTTTGGCACTCAGATCCCAGGTTCTCCTTCCAGACGTGGCTACACGAGAAAGTTTTATTATTGCAAGGTTAAGGTACCTGCTGAGGAGTCACTGCCCTTGTCCAGAGCAGCTAACTGTCTCCTGCTGGTACCTTTCAGCCCTGCAAGTACCCCCAGCATGCATGAGGGTCTCAAACTCAGCCCCTGGACTGTCTAGAAATGCTCTAAAGCAGACTGATATTCCAAATGCCAGTGTAGCCTGACTTCCAACTCACACTGTCAGTACACATTTTTTTACTTCCTTGAGATAATAATGTATTTTATGAAAACAAAAGCCATGGCTGCCTAGTGCTAGTTTCAGATTCACCTTTCACATTAGGTTTGTAACCACAGCCTCAAAGACTTAAAGATAAACCCTGACCCTGTTATCTTGGGTCTACATTAATTCATGTATTTTACCAGCTACTTATCTTTCCTGTACAAAAATGAAAGTTCCATGCAAACACTGGCTGTCAAATGAAACAGCACGTAAACTGAGCTCAAAATTATGCCAAAAACAAAAAGTACCCAAGCCACTTACAAAGAGAACAGAACTTTTTCTCTCTTCATCAGTTTCTGCAAATTCAGGTCCCAAGTCTATCAGCAGTTTCATGCAGATGCCTTACAACCAGAGTAACTTTCACATCAACAAAGCTGCAGCTTTGGATATTACATTTATATTATCAGTCTTCAGAGAGTATAGAAAGGCTTTAGCAAGTACAGCTTTCAGAAACAGCATTTGTTAATCCTGAATTTCCAGGGTTTTTCTACTGTTCAACTAGAGTACTAGCAGCCACAAACCCTTAATCACTGTACTCACCAATTATGTTTCTTTGCTGAAACTTAGAAAGTGCAAGTTAAACTCACATCCATAAACTACAAGTACTAACCAAACTTGTTGTGTGTAATGAACAGTGTAAAAATAAAATCCCCCGATGTGCTGCCACATAGAAACTTACAAGTGAAAACAGGAAAAACACCACCAGGGGATCAAGCATCACCGGGTTCCATTATCCAAAACAAACATCAGCATGAACAGCGCAGCTCTTATTAAGAGATGGGGTAAATCAATATTGACAATAAAATTTGTATTAAGTGAAAACAGCTCAAAGCATCGAGAAAGAAACATGAGAAAAATACCAGTGGCACAGTTTCTCAAGTACTGACGGCAATTTTCATGCAACTTAGTAACCCCATGGAGCAAACCCCAAGCTTTAAACAAACACTGTCTTATTTTACACAAAAGTGTATCTGAATATAAAGACAGCCTCAAGTTTGGGCAGAAAGGCACCAACCTCCTCACTTGCTCTGAAATGCATCCAGGGTTATGCCACTAATGTGTTTTAGGGCAGAGAGGAGCTGAATGCTTGGCAACTCAGTTATGGCTCAAGGGGCTCTTTCCTGAAAGGGTGTAAAAAAGCCCCATCATCCCAATACCTGCTACACATTATTAACAATCTGCTGAAATCAGAAAAACCCAAGGGTCTCTTACCTTTCCTTCATACATTTCAGCAGAGTCTGATCTTGCTGAGAATTCAAACACTTATGGTAAATACATCATCTACATCTTAACTGTTTTAGCCACCATAGGGATTTGCTAAGAACCTCTGTCAGGCACAGTATGATTACAATTACAGACCAATTTGAGACACTTCTATAATCAAGATAAACAAGCTCCTCCCTATACTTCCTCACACACGAAATTAGAAAACAGCCAAAATTCTGCAAGAAGCACCAAGAGCGAAGAAGCAAACCTGAGTCTATCCAAGCATGAAGTCAGAAAAGCAGCTGTCTACCTCCTAACCCAAACCCCTCCTTTTGCTGAGGAAACAACACTCACACAAGTTCATTGCTCTGATGGAAGCTTCTATGATACACAATTACTGTCATAAGCTTTTTCGAAATTAAGAATAAATCAGGAAAACCTGAACACTATTTTTGTAGCTAACACATGAGTTTTCACTGTATGGTTGCAAGGCAGTACATTCAAAACATATGAATCTTTTCTATAAAGGAAAACATTAAGGTTTCCTATTACTTTTTAAAACACAGCCATAACTTACTACTTGAACTAAAAATGTTCATCTACATCCTACATTTCAATCACACTTTTTAATTTAAGAATGAAGAATGTTCAACTGCATCCTTGAATAAGTAGCACCTGGGTTTTTACTACCTACATAATGTCTATAGTAACAACAGTTGCTGTTTGACTAAGTGGGACAAAAAGAGAAGATACACAAAAAGCCCTTACAGCCTAGGCAGCTACAGAGAAATCCCAGGATAGTCCCACTTATGTTACTAAACCAGCAATGTCATCTGTCAAAGTTTCATTACAGAAAGCAGGAACTGAAGAATGAACTTGAACGTCTGAGGAAAAAAAAAAAAAAAAGGCACCAGCAGATAGAGATAATCATGTTGTTTCCACAGAGGCTCTGGTGCAACTTAAAGGCAAACAAAGCTACAAAGCTTCCTTCCTCTAAGTTTCACTGAAGACTAAAGATCACTCAGGTGATTTGCAGTGCACCATGCTTGCAAAGTCATGAGATGACCCCAAAAAACTCTTCAACTGCCAAATGTGACCAAATACACAGTGTTAGCTTGGCTGAACTAAGGTTACAGGAAACATGTGGCTCACACTCACCCTTTTCCTCACAGCACAACCCCTGACCCAGCTGGCCAGCACTACCCATGGACCAGACTACTCTGCAATAAATAGGAATGTGCAAACTGAGCTGAGCAATCCTCATCTGCTCTCAAGTTTCAGGTTTACAAACCTGTTTCTGACATAATGCACAATTCTGCTCAGTAATCTCCCCTGTGCAGAGCTGTCAAGCTGAAGGGCTACAATCAGGCACCACTCACAGAATCCTTAGGGCTGGCAGGGACCTCTGCAGGTCATACTGTCTGATGTCCCTGCTGAGGTAGGGTCACCTGGAGCAGGTAACACAGGAATATGTCCAGGTGGGTCAGAATGTCTCCAGAGAAGAAAAGCCCACAGCCTCCCTGGGCAGCCTGTGCCAGTGCTCTGCCACCCTCAATATAAAGAAGTTCTTCTTCATGTTGAGGTGAAACTTCCTGTGTTTTAGTTTATAGTCTTTGCTCATCATCTTGTTGCTGGGCACCACTGAAAAGTCTGGCACCTCTTTGAGATATCCACATGCATTAATGAGATCCCCTCTCAGACTCAACCAGAAAACAGGCCCAGCTCCCCCAGTCTGTTCTCATAAAACAGATGCTCCAGATCTCTCACCATATTTGTAGCCCTCTACTGGACCCTCTGCAGCAGCTTCTGATTTTTTCTTGATCTCCTGCTATTGCTTTTCTGAATGCTTGCAAGGATGCAAAGTCTGCAGAAAAGAATACGCACTACTACATCTTTGCCCTCTTGCTGCATAACTGCTCTCCTCTTAAACAGGGCACAAGAAATTAAGGGGATGAAAAAGCCCCCCCACAGGCACTAGATCAGGTGTACAATACTTCAAAGTGTGCCAGAAGCAGAAAAAGTTCTGACATGTGTCCAAGTCACTCAGACTTGCTGAGAACCAATCACTATTTTTCCACCTCAAACACCTCAGTCCAGAAGCAGCAAGTTCATTTTTGTCCGTGAGGAGCACAAAGGGAAATCACAGCTCCAAGCTCTCTCATGGGATGCCAGGTGTGTCCTCTATCACTTCTCAACAGTCACGCTCACTACCCAAACAAACTATTACAATCAAGGACCCGCAGCTTTCCCTTTTAGGCTGTGTGCCCTTCCCACCCTACCCCTGGAAGGACCACAGGCTTCAGGAATATAGCCCATATATTTTAAATCCTAAAAACATAGATTTTGAAGCTTCTTTAATAGCTGCGAAGATACAAAAGTTACCTCAAACCTAACCAAGGCTACATCTTTATTTCTGAGTACATTCTTCCCTCCCATTTCTTCTGCCTTTGCCGCTGGAGAGCTGCGTGCGCCACAGCCCCGCAGGGAACCGCAGCGCACACCGGAGCGTTAAAAGGCGCGCCATGGATGCAGCGGCCCCCGGGCAGAGCGTGCCCAGCGGGCACTGCCGGCCCGCGAGGCCGACAGCGAGCCCCGGCAGCCGCTCCCTACGGCGGGGAGGGAGCCCAGGCACGGCGGGCCCTGCGTGCTTCTCCAGAAAACGCCAGAGAAGGGACAAACCCGGCAACTGCGATCAGAGAGAGGGGCTGGTTTAACGGGAAGCCTCCACCCCCGCCTCCCCGAGGGCCCGCGTTCCACCCGTGACACAACGCAACACCCGGGGCCGGGCCCGGCCGCGCGCAGCGGCCCGGAAAGGCCGCAGGGCACGGGGCGGGAAGCAGAGCGCGGCCCGCTCTCTCCTCCCCGCGGCCCCCCGGGCACAGAGGAGCGGGGCAGCCCCCGCAGCCTTTCCGAGATGTCCCCAGGCAGCCGTTCCAGGCCGCCGCCACCCCCAGGCCAGCCGGCGGCGGACACAGGAGCGCGGCCAGACCCGTAGCCCAGGGAGGAGAACGGGAAAGCGCAGGAGCAGCTCCCGGGGCTTCACCTACCCGCCAGCAAAGAGATGCACCAGGGTGTCTCTTTGGCTCATCCTCGTCGCCTGCACCCGGGCGGGAGGAAGGAGGTGCCGGGCGCTTCCGCCCCACACTCACGGCGCCGCTCCTGGCAGGGCTCAGCATAAATAGGGGTGGGCCGGCTCCGCCTCCCGCTGCCGGCGCGGCTCCGCAGGCACACGGGCCGTGAGGGAAGCGGGGCCGGGCCGGGCCCGCCCCTCGCCGCGGCCGCTGCAGTACCGAAAGTGCGTAGCTATGAATATGCATATATGAATATGCATGATCCGCAAACAGAGGCTCCTATTGGCTGCGACAGCGTGACGTCTGCGAGGCACCGGGCCCGCCTCGTGAATATGCAACGAACCTCCTCGCCCCCGATTAAACAGAGGCCGGTTGGCTGCGGCATCTGACGTCATGCCCGCGGTGCCTCATAAGGTCGAGCGAAGGGGCTGAGGGGAGCTCCGTGAGGCGGCGGCGCCGCGCATGGGACGCGTTTGTCCCGGGCACTGTCCCGGGTGTTCCCGAACTCTCTGGACACAACGCTGTTCCCTGTGCTCTGGGATGACCCTGCCTGAAGAGGGGCGTGGGACCAGATGCCCCCCTGTGTTCCCTTCCAACCTGTTATACCCGCTCGGGCTGGGAAGGTGACAACCAGCAAGTGTAGAAAATGTGGGGGAAAGAGTATGAAAAACAGCCCCAGTGCCCTCAGCACCCCAGAACAGCAGCATTAGTAAGGTGCGTGGTGGCCTTAGTTTTTTGTTTCCTCTTATTCCCGAATTCTGGGTCATCCCCTCAGCTACTGAAGCAATCCCATCTCCCCAAAGAGGCACCAAAACGCTGCTCCTTGGGTGTTTCTGAAGGGAATATCCTGGCTCATGGAGTGGCTTACATCTTGGTTTTCCTCAAAAACTAATGGATAAGTGATGCGTATATAACTTAGAATAAAGTTACAAGGTGCTTATATAGCTTGAATTATAGGATATCAATATAGCGTAAATAATGATTTTTTAATGTGTCTATATAACCTGATACCAATATAATCTAAATAATGACTTTTTATATATCTGTATAACCGGATACCTATATAACCTGAATCATAGTTCTTTATACAATGTAATGGCTCATATATGGTGAACTAGTTGCTTAATACTGAATAGACAAAAAAAGAATATGAAACTCGCCAGGTGGATAGCTTTAGAGATACAGAAATATAGTACTAATGAAAAATTGGCAAGTGCAAAGCCAGTTAGCCACAAAATAAAGAATTTAGGCTGGTTAAGACCAGACACACCGTAACTGTGCATGCTCAAAGCTGAAAAATTCTGAATGCAAAGAAGACCCTGGAAGCCTTCATCAAAGACCCCCAACAAACCCCAAACTGGAAAGACACAAGTGTAGTGCAAAAGAACTGCCTAATAACCATGAGATCATACAATGTAAATTAGTTCTGGTGCATATGTGATGATGTTATAGTGACACAGGACTCCCCTAAAGAGATACAGAGGGTTAAAGTCCCCCAAAAAAGGGGTTGGAGTCCTTGAAAGAAGTACAAAGGGGTTAGAGTCCCTGAATGAATTCTGATGACTTTTCCTATTGGTTTTGGTCTTGGAATTTTGAGTTTGATTGTTGTATGTGGTTTTGCCTATTTAGTATAAAACTAGTGTTTCTTTTCTGTGTGTGTGCTAACAACTGTTACTGCCTGCAGTGTGTCTGCCAAAAGTTTTCACTGTGTATGTTGGTGCCTTTAGAGCTGTTACTGTTTGAGTGTTTGCCAGAAATGTTTACAGTTTGTTTTGCTAACAGTTTTAATCCACGTCCCACCCTGCTCCAACACCCTGTTTCATTCCTCCCGTTTATAGGACCCCAATTCCTTGTTTCATGTGTGGAATACCGTGTTGGTTCAGTGTCCTGTGGTTGTGGGACTCTTGGGGGCATATTGAGTGTTTTCATTGTAAAAGAAAATAGGAAAGTCTGCCACATCTCCAATATCCACTGTGTTGTGCATGGGGGGCTGAGAGCTGACCAAAGTAAGATTTGTGTTCTTGCTATAAAGTACAGTCATGTACAATTGAGGTTACATTGAAATGAGTAATTCCAGCAGTAAGGAAATAGTCATAAAGAGCCCTTTAGAGTGTGTTTTGGCCCATTGGAGGGAGCTAGAGCCATTTCAGGAAGTAACCTAAAGAAAAGTGATTTATTAAAATATTATAACCAATGATGCCCTCTTTATCAATTGGACAAGGGAAAAAATAGCCTGTGAATGGTACTTTAAATAAAAATAAAATGTACTAAGACTTGTATGAATAAGATCTTCATGTTCATTTTCTTTAGTCTTTGTAATACTTCCAGAGCTTCTAGAAGAGTGAGTGAATGTAGACTATTCACAAAACTGTGACCACTAACTTCATGTTCTCCGCTTTGCATCTTTTTTATTTCTAGGAACTCAACTCTTACAATCTGAGAAATTGTCAGAGACTATGCCATATTTTCTTTAAATTTCACAAGGTAATGTTTTGTGTAATTGCACTTGGTGTGGGTTTTCCTGAGGATGTGTAACATTCTCTTGTGTTTCTTTCTGATGGAATAAGATGGAGTAATCATGCACTGCACAGGGAGCAGGGTGGGAGTGGAGAAGGAATATTCCCCCTGGAAGGCACAGTTTTCCAGGGCTTAACGTCTATTCTGTCTCAGAGCCAGAATTAGTACCAACACAAATTGTCTGTGCCTGAAGAACTATCATAGGTTGTAAATTCCAGGGGATGGAGTGTTGGGAATGCATCAAAAACTGGAATGGGTAAAGGTAGGGGCAGCTCAGATGAGACCTTGTTACACAAAGCAAGGTGAAGCCCGAGGGCTTGGCAGCAGCAAAATGTAGTGGGCTGTTACTCCAAGAGGGGAAAAAACAGTGAAGTGCTCTCACAAGGAACTCAGGCTAACATTAGACTTTAAATTACAACTTCTGTGCTTTGGAAAAGGACTAGTGGGAGATTGAGGCTTCCTTTTTTTCATATTATTTTCTGTTCCATGGAAGGCATTTTTAAAAGCAATTTGATTTAACATTTGTAAGTGGATGTAGTACAGCTTGTTAAACAGCCAGCAGTAATCTCCTGATATGTCTGGCTTAGAAATGAGGCTTGAGCTCATGCTTATTGATGACACTGAGAAATCAAGCTGCTTCATTATTGCTAATGAAGGTGGGAAGGTTAAATTTAGATCTAGAGTAAGCCTCTGGGAAGAAACTGGATGGGTTTCTTTGGTACATGTTATATGAGGTCTATATAAGGTTTTTTTGTGTGGGGGGAGTGGATTTTGGGGTTTTCACTCCCTTTTAAATACAATTTTGCTGATATTTTATCTAGTTTGTTTCCATAAACTGTTCAAAACAGGGGAGATGGTGGTTTGGTCCTCACATACTGCTCTTTTTCTCTCTGCTAGTATGTTCACAGAACTTTTCAATGAAGGGAAAAGAATTTTAGACATGGAAATCCCAAAATCTTAAGATTGTCCTATAAATAACTTGCCTTCTGACTTGTGTGACTCAGACTCCTGTGATAAATACCACCAGAATGAATGGCGAATTTGGGATTTTTGTTGTCATGAGTTGAACATATTTTATGTTGCGAATCTGGAATCATAGCAAGATATTACAAGGAATATTTTAGCTCATAAAGTGTGCTGATTCTGAAAGTGAACAAAATGAGTGTGTTTGTACTGCCCCTTTGAAATGGTAGAAGTGAATTTGTGCAATGGTTTAAAGTGCAAGACATCTGCTCTATGCTAGAAAAAGCTGACCACTCTGAGAGATTTTAAAAATGCCTTGATTTTATCAATGCATTTCTACTGATCTGTTTACTATTATATTTTTAACCGTTTCACAAATAAGGAAGCAGAATGAGACAAGACAGATGTTTAATCAAAACCACTGGACAGATGAGTGGCAGATTTAGAAATAACCTTTTGACCAACAAAGCCAGAAGGGAGGGTGTGATAAACAATTTTGTGTAGGCCTTCTTTTGCTTGAGAATGGAGCAGCCTCTGTTCCTTGAGGACATAAAAACCTTTGTAATACACATTTGTAAACACATATTTGGAAGGCTATTGCTCAGTTGCTCTGTTTATCTAAAATCTGTACCTTAAGTAATATTCAGAAAATAAAGGAGGACAGGAAAAAAGGATAATAAGTAGGGAAAGAAGAAAAGAGGAGCAGCTGATCTGTAAAAAAGGGATGGGGATATCAGTACCATGTAAATGAGGACTTGGAGAGTGGTGTATGGATTTTACAGTCAGGAACATGCAGGTACTCACTAGAGTAAGTTGGCCCTCATGACAGCTGTGGTCAGCACTTTGCATGACAGGCTGTCAGTTTTTACAGCTGATTTATTCAGAGAATCAAGTGTACAGAAAAGTGATTGAGATTATCTGCCAAATGGATGCCTTATCGTATCAAGGAACACTTAAAAGATTTGTTTTGTTTAGACTGGGTGAATAAAGGCTAAGCAAGACATGATTTCTGCTGAAAAAAAAAATCTGTCAGAGCAATAAACTACAGAAACCAAATCAGTAAAATACTACATAAGCTAAAGGTCACCATTAGCAGAGTCACCAGGAGTCATGAATAAATTGAGGTAGAGAAGAAAAAGTGAGAGTCTGTGATGTAATTTTCTACAGCATCTGGAGGGTGGAATGAAAGTTTTCTAGTATTGTATGCACCCTATGCCCAGTTGAGTCTCAAATTGTGGCAGGATGGGTGGGTTACCTTGTCAAGGCATCTCTCTTTTGAAAGGTGTGAATCCAAGATGCAGTTCTGTTTTAGCCCATCACCACAGCAAGGGCTTCTGTCCTTAGCTTATTTTGAGAGAGCTGTGTAAACAACGTCCCATAGCTCAAGAGATAAATTTCCTGATGTGAAAAACTTCAAATATTTGAGAAATTTACTCACTTCTAAATGAAACCGAACTTCTTCCTTTTATTTTTTAATCAAAAGGCAGAGGGAAGTGTGACTCATTTAGAAAAGGTGAATGTGTGACTGCACAGGTTTTACGAATATGGAGTGGGCAAATCCAGGGAGCTTAGCAGTAGTGTGCTTACTGCCTGCACCTGGCTGGTGTGTTTCTGGAGAGGCTGGGTGTCAGTGCAGAGGGATCACAGCAGCACAGATTGCTCTCTGGGCTCTGCTGGCCTTTAGTGTTTCATGTGAGCAGCCTGCTTTGGACAACTGAGCAAACCCAACAAACATCTACCTAGATGTGCATGGAGGCTGTGGAAGTGCTTTCAGGCAGTTGCCTAGGGAGTGAGTTGCCTTGCTGCTCTCCCTTGATAAATATGGTTTAATAATTAATGTCCTTCTAGAGGAGATGTTACTTCTCTAGCTTGTCTAAGCCTGGACAAGGAATTTGCTGACCTAGGTGTACATTAGAGACATAAGCCTCATTATTGCTAATGAACCAGTTAAAGAAATATTGCCAGGAGTTTGTTTTTTGCAAGAGATAATTCAGTGGAAGTTTTGGTGTGTAGCTGCACAGTATAGTTGGTTTCCTGGATATTATGCATATGACACAAAGCTCAGTTAGAGCCTCAATTCTGAAGTGTAGAAATCATAACTAGAAGGAAAACTGTTACATCAGCTGCTACTACAAAGGCAGAATGTTGAGTATTATCAACAGGTTGTTTATCCTAATGGGGCAAGTATTATTTCAGATTTTATTTTCATTGTATGAAGTTACAGTGTTTCCTGTAGGCTATGGAAATATCTTATGTTCCAGATTCTTCTGACAGTCTCATTTACTTCCAGAAATGGTGGGGGAACAAAGTTTATTTGGGTTTGTTTTTTTTAAAAGGGGTCAGATTGTAATTGATTTTCTGCCCCTGAACAGCCTGTGGAACTGATTCCTTTGCCTAGAAAAAGCACTTGAAGGAATGGAAAGAACCTGCTTACAGTGTAAGCAATGCCAGTTTAAAAGATGTTTAACAAAACCAGAAGGAACACTTATAAGTTGCTCTCTTTTATTCAAGACTTTGTGGAATGCTTTACTTTCAAGGATCCTTATAAGGATTCACTTGACCTTTAAAACAAATTAACAGGATTATGATGAGCAAGTAATGATTCTGGGACAGGGCATCAGGTCAAGCAGGTGAAATCCCCTGGATTTCTGGGGATATACCACCATCTCAGATATAAAGCCCTGGTAACTCTTGATTTGTCAGTGCTGTTATTTCCTCTCCTGTGAAGCACAAGCTCACTTATTTTTAAAGTGTTCTCTAATCAAACACAATGAGTTATCTTTCCCTAGTTTTTTGAAAATACTCTACAAAATCTACTGTGCATTTTTGGTGAGTTTTAGACACAAAGAACCTCAAGTAGTTTCATTCATAACATGCTGAATATGTCAGCCTTGATGAAATCACATCTTGGATGACATTGATCTTATCAGCCATGTGGAAAGAGCAGTGTTTTTTGTGATGTGTAATGAGTGAGGTTTGATGGTGGTGGCTTTGACAAACTAATATTTCAAATTTTGACTGGATTTGGAGTTAGGTTGTTGTCACTGTGGTGGGAAGAACTATATTTAATTTTTTCCTATGACATGAAGTGATGAGGAATTTCAATCTATTATATTTTCATGATAAAACATATTTATTCCCATAAATGAAATAGAAGTTCTGCATAACCCAGTGTCAATGGTGACCTAGATTTCATGCCCCCTATTTGTAATCATACTATGAAATTTTGTCTCTCTTTTTAAAAAGGATCTTTTCAATTTCTATCTCTCAAAATACAAGAATTTCTGGCTAAGAATACACTCTTTATTCTTCCAGTTATATTTGAATCTTATCTTGATTTTAGTTTGCCATGTGTTCACAAAGCCAAGCCTGTGTGAGATTATGCAATACACATGTGCTTCAAGTGTCTCCAGACAGAATTCAATGTTCCCAAATCTAGCTGTGCAGTACACTACTGACTTTGTTTTCTGTCTTCTACAAGTCCTGAGTTCAGATTAGTGTAAGTTTGATTCCTTGCTTGTCACTACATTTTATCCAGAATGGAGCACAATGTTGAAATTCTGAGATATTTGACCATACTTTTGCATGAAGTAGAGTCTGAGGGGAGCTTTGCTGTGTAACTTGAGGCTTATGTCTGTCTTCTCTTAGAGCAGGTGTTGTAATATTTTTTAAGAATACTACCAGTTACTCTAAAACAAGCTCTCTTTCCTAACCACCATCTGTCATTGCAGAGGGAGGAAGGAAGGGACATCCCCACTGGAATCAAGGTGAAGTAGGAGTAGGAGCCCAGCTCCTACTGCTCATTCCCACTGTCCTTCAGAGTCCTTTATTGATTTGTTGGTGTTAAGAATAAGAATACTCAAATAATGAAAGTCATCATTCTGGATGTTGAAATAATCCTCAGAAATGGATATGGACAATTCTAATATCTAGGGGAGGATGGAAGAGGGAAGCATTACAACTTCATTCAAGGAATTGTCAAGTTTATATGTAGACCCTGCATCTCTGGGGTGGTGGTAGAGATACTGATAGAGGGCTTCTGAGATAAATGTTGGTAACAAAATGACAGGTTTTTATTTTAACAATATGTAGAGATCTCTTTGAATGACTTTAACCTCTGGTCTTTTTTTTTTTTTTTTTTTTTTAATAGAACAAGCACTGAATGACAGTACTGGGGTTGTCTTCTTAAAAATCTGAATTTGTAACATTTGGAGGAAAAATTACTTGCTGTTCTGCAACAATTAATTCCAGAAAAGTAACCTAATGGTGAGTTGGATCTAAGGGTATTATCTCTGCTGCTTCCTTCTGGTAAATATAAACTTAAATTAAGAATGTATTATTTACAGGTCTTGACAAGTACCAACGATTTATCACAATAAGAACACTGCCTTCCTGTTTTTTACAAAAACACTGAAATAAGGCCTCTAGGTTATAATTCAACTCCCCTACAATTATCAGGCTGACACTTTATAAAAAAGCTATTGAAGGAACCCTCATTAAGAGTGTGTTCAAACCACCTTTGAAATATAGGAGTGAAAAGGACTTCAACATACATTGGTGAGCAGTACAAGAAAAAGGGTCCATGCTTTTTACAGGGACCCCTCTTTCCATATTGTGCAAGAAAATTACTGAAACAGTTGCAGTGATACATTTAAATTACTGGGAGGGTGAGGTGGGAATCCTGAGATCTGAACAAATGCTCATGATACAAGTGAGACTTTTAATGTCTTAAATTACATTTGCTGTGAACAGATGGGATTTTTGTTTTCTAATTCTCTGGGTTGCCTTTAGGAATTCCATCCTAGACAAAGTCCAAGATACAATTTTTTTTTCTCAGTCACTTAGTCATAGAAAAGACTGAAGGTGTGAGGATATATGGAAAATTGTTCTCTTTTACATTTCTTGCTTGTAGTTATTAGTGATATTTTCTAACTGGAGGATCTGTAATTAAAATCAGATGACAAATATATCCTGGAATTTTTATGCATGAAAAACTTGCCAGCACTGCCAGCTGCTGGTGCCATTTCAGAAACATAGAGGATTTTTTGCTTGTTATATCTCAGTGGGTTGTTGTGGAAGTTTATTTTCAATCTCAGCCTAATTCTGTGAAAAAATAGATAGAATGCTTAGAAATATAGCTCCACAATTTTCTCACTTTTGTCCATGCTTTAGAAGAAAGAATATTACAGCTGGAGTTGGATGTTGCTCATATATTTTTAAACAGTACTGGTGTGTAATGCTGGAAGGGAGCATATACCATGATGTTAATGATATGCAATTACGTAGCAGTCTGTAAAACCCCCAAAATTATTTGGTGATGAGACAGGGTTGTGTTCCACCAGGTCAGATGAATATATCCATTATTTTGACTACAGTTTCCAAGGAATTCATTAGCTGTAATTTGGCATTGTAGTCTCTATAGAGGCTCACCTTAATTGGCTTTAATGATGAAGTGACTTCTCTCACTGCACTGGAGGTGATGCACTGGGGTGTGGGTGTGAAGGAAATATTTCAGCTGGAATAAAACTGAGCATCCCCAAACTGTGTGACATCTCCACTCCTCTGTGTGGAATCTAATTCACACAGAATGTAATCAGCTGCACTTCAGTGTTGGCTAATCTTCAACTGCAATCAATAAATCAACCTGGGCAGGGAGAGAGCAGGTGAATCAAACATGTACTGTGGTGTTTGCTTTTGTAGCCTTTTTGAGAGGTCAGATAATGGAGACATCAATTAAAAGCAGGATAAACAGCAGGGTTCTTCCAATGCAATAGTGTTTCCCTTTCTTAAATGGGAGTGTGAATTTAGCTTTAAAGGAAGCAGCCAAATCATTTGTTGTGTTTATAAACAATATAATTCAGACATTGCTGGTGAAAACTTCAGTGCTCAAACTTCTTTCATAGAACAGAGAGTGTAGATTTTGAGTGAATATATCACCTTCCAAACCTTCTTTAGAGAAAACAGTGGTTTGTTTTTTTTCAGCCTCATTAATTTTCCAGTAATTTTTTTTCAGTTATTTTAGCATGACTTCAACACTCGAAAGCTCACTGTGATGCACATGTGTGTGGAGGAAATACTTCCATTTGAATAAAACTGAACAAACTTCAATGTGTCACTTCCAGGCTCCAGTGGGACCTAAGTGTGCTATTTCCTAAGTGTCTTTGCCAACAATGATCTTTTCTATGGTGGGTGAGACTACAATATTTATCCATTGACCTTTACTATTAATATCCTCTTTTCCTTCACTGTTTTGTAATCTAAAAGACTTGATAAATACCATGGTTTTATCTCTGTTTTTGTTGTGTGGATATTTTGGCTCCCAGTCATGTTTCATAGGCCCCGAGCAATGATGTCTGCAGCAGGCAGAGGTGCCATTGCTGAGATTGTTGTTTGACAGAAAAAGAAAATGCTGAATCAGAACATCTGTTGAGAAGTGCTTTGGCAGGGGGTTTGTCCTCAGAACTGGGAAGTAGGTTGTTCTGACTCCAAGAGCTGGTGGTCTTGGGCTTGCAGAGAAGAGAAGTACCTCTTTATGGGTTGTGTTCTGCCCAACAACAGATGCGTTCATCTGGCTGTAGTTCAGAGGATTTACAGGAGCCTTATTAGAAAAATAAGCCAGAAGGCAACAGACTCTGGTAGTTGATGGTGATTTCTTACATTGCACTGGATACTGCACAATAATTTTGCAAGAAGGCAGAGCCAGCTGTGAGATGGATGGAGCCACATATGTTTCCTCACCCAAGAGAGAAGTTTGTGTACAGAATTGCAGTCAGGAATAAGGCTGAGTGAAAGATTTTGAAGGTTATTCACACAGAGATGTCTGGATTTGTAGATAAATTCACTTGGATTGGTTGTTTTTGTGTTAGCTTTCTGACTATAAAAGTTTTATTGCATTGAGGTCTATAAAGCAGTAAATAGTGAAGAAGTACTTGAAGATTGTTCCATTCTGAACTCAAGAACCTTGCATGATTTGTATTTTGTGGTCTCTTTCCCAAACTTGAAATGGTTATACCACTTGAAATGTCTTCCCATTTCCTCAATGGCACCTTGCCTCTACAGCACCCAGAAAACCTTAGTGTGAAGAGAGATGCCATGTTTTTCTTTCCTGTGCTGCAGCACTGAAAAACTATACAAGATGAGGTTAGAGCTTCTACCATGCTGAGCTTCTGCAGGGAACAGACACCAGCCAGGCTCCTGCTTGCTTGCTGTAGCATCAGGTGGAGGGAACTGGACACAAGTGATCTGCAGCACTTTGAATGCTTCTCTAGAACTGTTTGACAGAACTAAGTGATCAAACTTAATAGGGCTAAGTGGAGAAACTAGCTCTTTGCTTTGGAGCTCACTGTCCTTCTGTGAGAGTGCAGACAGTGGCAGCAGCACAGCAATGACAGCAGTGTGAGCTGCTCCTGCAGAGCCTGGCTTCTCACTTCTCACAGCTTCCATGTGTGCACTATCACCCCACACGTGAGATAGCTCTTCTGATTTTAAGTCCACATCCCAGAACTGAAAGAAGCCCTGAAGGTTTTCAAATCACCTTCAGACTGTCTGTTTGCTCATCTTCTCTTACTGAGAGGTGGTCAGAAAACAGGGCCAAAATTGCCTTTTTACTACTCTGGTTTACTATCCTGGTAGTGTTTCATTGTGGGCATCAGGGAATGCCTCTAGAGACAAATACTGTTTCTCACTAGAAGTGCTCCAGACAAGCAGGTTGGAATCATAGTGCTGATGATATCCAATATTTAAGGTGAACTTCAGAAGGAAGTGAGTGGTAACCTTTGGAATGATTTAATTATCACCCAAAAATGCATTTGGCATTTGTATATGAAATACACAACTGGCAAAGTATGTGAAATGCTTACATGCCATAGGTCAGTTCAGCTGAGCCATCTACAAGACTAATTCTGCTGGGCAAGACTTTTCTGGTATTGCTGAAAGCTTCTTGCTTCTACAGGAACCACAGTGCAGGATATTAAAAAGCTACAGATGTTTTAAGAAAGACTGTGGTGGCTGCCATAATAATTTCCTATAACAACAAAAACCCCAACAACAAACAAACAAAACCAAAAACAAATGAAGCAACAAACAAACAAACACCCCCCTCCCCCCAACAAAACAAAACAAAAAATAAAGAAAAGAGAGACAGAGAATGTGACAACGAGGTTTTGGTGCAGGGATTTTAACCAAAACTTCCAGTTTTCCATATAGAAGGGTAAAGTTACTAAATGTTATAAGAGAGGAAAAGAGTAGGACAACTTTTTGGAGGTTCTAAATTTACAGAGAATTCAGGGTGAAGTGGGACAACAAGGATCTGACCTGACATATTGCTTATCTTCTTTTCTTGGCATTTACTTTCAGATAAAACCAGCTGGTTTCAGAAAAGTGGTACAGTGCTAAGTACTTCCATGACCTGGAACTGGAGCTGTTGTAATTGACAGCAGTTCCCTTTCTTGTATTTATCCTAATAAACAAAGTCCATTTCCTATCAGGGATGTTTTCAACTTCTCTAGATACGCTGTTTTCATCAATATCTGTGATTGTCCTGCTTGGAGCCCTTTGGACTCTGCACCATTCCTATTCACATGATGATCTCACATTCCTCCTGGAGAAAAAAATGTGTGCTCATGCAGCTAGAGAGTGGAAACTTACTGGTTGTACAGAGCTTGGCAGGAGCTCCTGTTCCAGCCTCCTGACAGGAGCAGGGACAGCCTGCATTTCTCTAAGTGCTGAGCCAATCAAAGCCTTCTTGTCTCTGCACTGATGCTTCTCTCCCTGTTTGTTCCCTTCTCCATTCTTATTGACAAGTATGAAAACAAGAAAGCTGCTTTTTTCTGTGACTAGTCAGTGTTGTAGGCAAGGTTTAGAGCAAATGCAGACCCATTGTAACAACATTTCTGCAAGAGCCCTGCAGGTGGAACTGCCCACAGCAAAAGCACAGATTATGTTTTATGTCTGACACATCCACCTTTTAACATATTAGAGCAGAAGATGGAACAGTTCCTTTGGAGTCCCCACATGAATCAGCAGTGCAAGCTGGCTTTCTGCTGCCTGGAGCTCTGTCTATGCTTCTTATTTTAACTCTTTGCTAGCCACAATCCAGACCACAGAGGAAACTGCAGTAAATGAAGTTCCTTAACTGCATGGATGTATGTTTTTACTGCAGTATTAACTTACATAAGCTATTGCCTGCAGTGGAAGTGTGTTGCAAAAGCAGCATCTATGTGGGGCTATATTGGAAGAGAACAGCTCAATGCATAATATTTTTCCCATTTTCCTTTTTGAAAATTCATACTAGCAAGCTTTAAGGAAGTGGTTCAAGCACATCTGGTGACCCCAAAGCCATAACTGTGCAGATGCTTTGGGGGAAGGCCTGGTGAGTTACTCCTGAAGGTTCAGAGCAAAGGCAGCCTGTTTCTGCCCTTCCTTCCACTGCTTGATGCCCTTTTCATGAAGTCTTATAAAACATGCATTTTGAATGGGTCATATTATAGGCACTCTCACAGTCAGGGCTTCACATTGATTTAATGACCAGCATTAAAGATACGTCTCCAAATTTTCATTAAAATACCCAAGACTAGCTTTGCAACTGGGTTATGATAAATTTTATTTTGCAGGCATGCATTTGCATCCAGTATGCCTGAATTTCTGATATATTAAACCTACCAGAACAAAGACTTAGTCATCTGTAATTGTATTATTAAAACTGCCAGTCTGATATTTTGAAATTTAAGCAAAATAAAAGCAAATATCCTTATTACAATTCTCACAGGTTCTGAAGAGTAAGGAGTTCTAAAGAGCTAAGTCTGAGTTTGGCTAAGCTGTAGTGCAGTACTGAGTATAAATACACTGTCAGTAGATCTCTTGTAGGTATGAAGGCCAAGAGAGAGGAGGAGTAGTGCTGTACCATTAGTTATGTTGAGACGTGCTTTGAAGAAAGGAAAAAAATATTTTTTATCAGTAAAAAACCCATAAGGCCTGGGTTCAGTGGCAGGTTTCTGCTTTCTTAAGAAATATTTAAAACCCTATAAAACATAGAAAACCAGCTTGCACTCCCAAGAAAATAAGACAGATGAGCTAATACCTTTTCCCTCCCTATCCTTCTGTTCTCCTCCTTGGCTGCTGACTGTGGCCATGCTGTGGCTCACCAGCTCTTGTGCATGGGGAGCATTTGGTCTGGAGTGAGTGTAGGACAGGTGAGTGCTTGGGGACTGTCCTCACACTCCCCAGTCAGTTCCTTCCTCAAGGGAGTGCATAGCAGCATGGGAACAGTCACTGCCTGCTCTGCTGGACCTAAAGTTCAGCCATGTATTCAGACAAAGAAAGCACCAAGCTTGGGAGGTTTTCCAGCAGGACATTGATAAAACATTGATTTGTTGCAGATTTTCCCCTTACCCTCGCTACCCTCTCCTATCCCCACACACTCATTGCTTTGAGTCACAGTGCATTTGTTATTTCCATCTGTGCTGCAGCACTTCTCTAAAAGGCAGTTTTCCCTGCTAGTACTTGCTCTGCTGAGAATCCCAAAATTTTGTAGACTGTAGTAATTTCTAAGTGACAGGATTGCCAGAACATCAATGGTGAAGAGGCCAGCTTGGCTAAAGTTGGGTAGGATCTGGTTAAAACTTCTGTAACTCAAATAGGAAGAGAGAAAAAGTCAAGTAGTGAATGGCCAGGAAATCAGACAGCTTAAAGCTCCAGATGCTGGTTTTTTTTTACTAGCATTGAGTATTTTCACTTTCATTGAAGTTGTTTTTTTTTTTTTTTTCTTGTTGGTAAATTACTTTTGCATTGATTGCTTTTTAGGGGAGGAAATATTTTTTTCATGGAAAGCAATGAGTGGACTTTCAATTTTTAACACAAACAGAACTTGTTTTATGGACCATGCCCAGCATGAGAGATTATATATCAAAGTGTTTTCTTTAGCTAAAAATCCTGAGAACAAGTAAAACTCAGAGAAAAACTGAGGAAACTGAGAAAAAAAAGTAGCTAGAGACCTTGTTTTGTTTAACTTACTTGATTTCAAGATCAAAGAGAGATTTATGAAGAAGAGAAATGATATGGTGACAGTTGTTGGAACTTTGGACTTGCTAACACTA